GGTGCCCATGTAGACATTTTGTATTGGATTGTATTCACTACCCGGCTATATATACTCTCCTCCATGTCCTTCACTAATATTGACCCTTTTCTCGAATTTCTATGAGTATAGGGATAGCACGGCCAGTTCTGAGGAGAATAGGCTTCGCATGGGTAACTGCGGCATCCTCAACCAATGAGACACTTCTTACTACCTCGAAAACTAAGACTTAGGATCAATTTCAATACAGTGGGGTCGCTCACTGAAGGATGTGTTTTTACAGGTGGGAGGCATCAAAGAGAAAGTCCTTGGAGCTCATCGGTCTGGCCTTCGACGAGTCATACTACCGACGGCTAACCGCAACGATGTAGACCACATTGAGAAGTCAATTAAGGTTTGTGATTTTTGCAGACTTATTTTTGAGATTAGAGGAAACTGGTAAACTTACAGCCAGAAGTTCGAATGATCTGACAGGTCAGAGAAGTCACATTGTCAGAGCGGTAAGCCTCTCAACGCTCTCGTACCACTCTGCTCTATCTCTTACTTTCTTTATCATCCAAACTCACTTCATTTGTTCGATTTTCTTCTGATTTTGAATTTTCGAAAGTTCAATTCGGTGGGTGTTATAATTTTTTAGACTTCTGAAAGTTTATGAAGTGATTTCTGTTCTCAAACACTGGCGATTTTAGGATGAAATGGATATCCAGTTCACTTCCGACATAGACGATCTACTGCAGAAGATCATGGAAAAAGAGACCGTTTCGAATATTCTATCAAAGCTGTGACCGCCATTTTACATCTTTTTCATGAATGTAAATAAATGTATAAATTGTGCAGAACTGTTGCTTCCATAAATAGTCATTTCAGTTTTTATCTCAATTTCAACGTTACAGCTTTTTCCGAGTTTCATAAGCAGGTAAGATCAGCCGCCAGAAGTGTTCTGACCAAAAAATTTACTGACGTGTCGCGACCGCACGCTTAGAATGCATGATTTCGCTTGCCTAGACCACAGGACTAAAGGGAAGTAAAATTGGGATATGGAAAAAATGGATCTTCCCAAATACCCCTCCGAATTCTGAATGCAAAAATGGAACAGTGGATAACAATCTCTAATATATTATTCAAAAAATCGCCATCTAATAAATATGTACAACGTGGATAAAACTAAAAAATCAAAGAAGTATACAATGAAAACGGAATAAAAAACAGCTTCGCCGTCTTCTTCGTCTCTTCCATCGTACCTAACGGGTTTGCTCCTTTTCCAACGCTCTCAAACGGGCTTCGTTTTCTTTGTATGTCAAAAAGTCTTCCATTTCTTCATGTAATAAACGCGGAGGAGCCATTATCCAGCCCTAAAGATATGAAGTTTTAATCTTTGTTTAGATTTCAAGAAAAAAATTTGGTTACCTTGACTA